GTACTCGACATGTACATGACCATCTCGCATGATCGACCTAAACCATTGGTCGTGAGCGATTCATGTGCAAACCCCCTGCCTATGCGCCTACAGACGAGTACTGGGCGAAGTGGTATACCATCAAAGGTAATTCCTCTCTTCTCATACTCTGCGGATGACGAACTAACACCATCAAGACAAAGTCTCGTATCTACCAGGGGGCCTCGCAACAGGATCAGTCTCCTACCATGCTTGCTTCACAGATACAGCCGACGGTCTCTCAACACATGTGTATGCACCTCTCGGTCTCGATATCCAAGGAAAGTGGACTGTTGGAGGACGGTTACCCGGCGAGCCAAAACCCCCTGTTGAACCTGGCCTCGAGACACCCAGGCATGGACTGTATATCCGAGAAGACGTCAAGATGACTTGCTCATCACTACTCCTGAGCTTCGTCAAGAGGACTTTCAAGGACTCGCACGGACAGCTAGTAGATAAACTGGTCGAGAGAGCGCACATTCTGGAATCCAGCTTCGCAAACGAGAGACTACAACAACTCCGCGGTATCGACCCGGGCGAGCGCATGGGTCATGGAGACATCTTGATCGCTCTGCCACCAGACCTTGAGCTTTCTGCCCCAGCTCCCAGCCCTCGCTCCATGTCCCACACACGGAGCCAGAGCGATCCTGTCCTTTCCCCTGGCTTTTCATCATCTTCGACACTCAACGACAACAGCCAAAGCAACAGCCCAACTACGAAACGGTCAAACCGCCACATGTCTTTTGTCTACGTACACGAAGAGAAGCCTCTTGCTTCTTCTGCGCCAGAGCAATCATCGTTCTTATTACCAGCGACAACATACGACGGGGGCGCCACCTCCCCACTGCGCGAGCGACCGATCTCCATGATGCCCGCTACTCCATCGGCTAAGAACTCGGAGCGCGTGATCTCATTGCTACCATTCAGCCCACACAACACGGAGGCCCCGCAACAAAACCAGCAGTTCTTTAACACGCCCAGAACGCCCTACTCTGGCCGCGAGCGACCCATTTCTTTTACATTCCCATTCGACCCGAAGCAGCCTTTTGACCGCAAGTCGAACTCTCAGCCTTCTCAATCGGAGCAGCAGAACCTGCTTGACGATATTGATGACGCTATTGATGAGTTCATGTACACTCTACCTGCGACTGCATACAACACGCTACCCGCAACGAGATACAACTCCAATTCACCCATCCTCTCTAACGCCACATATACCCCGACTGCTCCAACTCCAGCTCCCGAGCCTGTTCTATCGAGCGCAAAGTACGACCCCAAGCACGAACGAAAGGACTCGTTTATGCCGTACACGCCATTCGTACCCGTCGAGGAAGACGAGCGACCACCGGTCCCGCTCAAAGACGACAAGTACCGCAAGGGCAGCATCCGAGGATAGAATCTTCTCATGAATCTTTTATGTTCTTGTTTTCACTTCTTTCATGTCTTTTCATGTTCGGTGTTACAGGGTGTTTGGAAATGTTTTCTTTTTTATTATACCCGCCCACACTGGCTTCATACCCCTGGAATCTTTCTTCTCTTATGTAGTTTTTTTATGTTAGAAACTAGCAATTCTTCGAATGAATCCTTCTCATACCACACACAGCCAGTCACACTTCACGTACTCGTAGTAATGAAGTCTATAACATGTATCCTTGCACTCAAAGGCCTGCCTGCCCCCAAACGTATTCAAATGCACAACACAATGACCTGAATTGACTCAAACTAGTCTTTACCTAAACGGGAGGCTTATGTTACGTCGCAACTTGCCTCTCTACTCCCGCAATTAAATAGTACCATAGTACGTTCAACAGCATCGGGACAGCAACACCTACTCTGAACGCCCCCAGTTTGACTCGTATATGCCAATTCGCATACTCCGCAATAACGGCAAAGAAACCCTTCTGTTCAATTCATGTGTGCCAACTGGCAACTCCCACAACCACGGCATAGCCACCCTCAACCTTCCCCCCCACGCCCGTATCATCTCCTCGGGAAACACCATAATTCCTTGCCCCGCATTCATTATCCCCCTAGCCAATATTTGACGAAGCAGATCCTTCAGAGCAGATGACCGCGCCAGTGTCATCGGCATCTCGAATGTGTGTGTCCTCCCCAGCTGCACACGCACCATATCCAAGCATACCCTCACCAGCTCTGTCATAGAGGGAATGTAGTGGTCCCTTATACCTACAGGAAACATCCTGTAATCCCTAAGAAGATGCCATATACTGTAAAAGATACTCCGGAGGATGTTTTGGACGCGTTCGGGGTAGAAGACTGCTATTGCTTCCTCTTGCTCATCAATTCTTCTCAAATGTCTCTGTGTTATCATCATCTCCTCAATTTCAATCCTATTTTCCAGAATTGTAATCTCCTCATATCTCCTCATACGTTCCTGAATTGTAACCATCTCCTCAATTTCAGTCAAATATGCCTCTTCATTCCAAGGCTCATCCTCCTCTCCGTATTCATCAGAATTGTCTGAATAGGGTGCCTCTGGGATAACAAACAACTGTTTCCTGCATAGAGCGCAGGAGTTTGTATTTGGGCATCTAAACCATGTGCCGAGGCAGCTTACGCAAAAGATGTGCCCGCAGCTGTCTTCGCCAGCGTAGGTGACGGGTTCATGCGAGGTGGTGTTGTATTCTTCATAGCAGATTACGCAATTGGTGTTGTCTGCTGGAGGCGTGACGGGAATGACTTGTGTGGCGAGAAACTCGCTTTGGGTGTACATGGGTTGAGAAGCTATGCTTAGTGGGTTGGAAGGCTTGGCTTGGTTGTGTAGTTTGGTGCTGCTGTAGACGTGCTGAGAGAGGGAAGACCCTGTGCAAAGTAAACCATTTCATAAAATACAAGATAAGTGTGTGATAGGCTTTGCTCTGAATAACCACGGACATTGTGCTGATTAATAATGTACTACGATATACAGAATACCCTTCTGTACCTGGGACTAAGCGTCACTACATCCAGCCTGAAGCATGGATCGTGGTGTGGATAATGGTAGTGACACTGGTACCGTGGTACAGTCGACCCGAGGCACCACCCCCAAAACTACCGCATCCAAAAGTCTTCAAATGATTACATTGACGCAGCAAATTTGCGATCGACGAGAACTACCAGCCTGGTGTGAACACTTTGGCCTACCAATCATGATGTACATTAAATCAGCTTATTCGTCTCTGAATATCCACCTTCCACCCTTTCTTTGGGCCTCCAGCCATCTTTCTTGTACTACAGCCTTTTCCTGTTCTTTTGCCCGCTCTCTGTCTTCCTGTTGTTCTTGGGTCGTCGGAAAGTCGACCCGCCAGAAGCCCGGCGGTGTTTTACGCCGCTCATAAGCTTCACGATGTTTGCCAGACTCTTTTGCCATCTTCATGGTGCGTGCTTGGAGAACTAGCTCTTGTCGCTCTTCTGATGACATTTGAGTGAGTTGCATGCTGCTGTATGCATCGCCGAGGTAGTTTTCGAGCAAAACTTCCTCTTGGGACGAACTGAGAGGTGCTTGAGCTTCTGCCAGCGCTCGAAATGTGGAGCCACAGCATTGCGCATTGGTGCAGCCTGGCAGACACATACGATCTCCACGTTTTCGGACAGTCTCCGTGAATGCATAACTATACCCTTGGTTATAGGCAGGATTTGGTTTGAAGTCATGCCCGCTAAGTTCTCTAACGTCCTTATCTCGAAGACGGCCTTGGTCTTTGGCAGGAACGTCTCGATTTTTGCGAGCGTTGGACCGTGTTTCGGGCGGCTTCATCGTCCATACTGGCCGATCAGGTGTCGGGTCATCACGAGCCTTGGAACGAGACTTTGCAGCCGCCCTCACAGGGGTATCCCTAGCCCGCGACGAACTCGATGGTGGTGTAGGGACTTGCTCCTTCTTGATCTTCGGCGGTCCTAGTTTTGAAGTTTTTGGCCAGGCCTTTGTGGGCGTCTGAATTTTCTTTAAAGCGCGCAACCTGCTGTTCATCTGCTGTCGGGCCACATGTGGCGAGACTCGCTCACCATTCTCGGCTGGTGGTGCTTCACCAGACTCCGCCAGAAAATCATGTTTCTCTCGATTTTGGGCTTGGGCTCGTCGTGAGCGTTTGGTTGGAGGTTCTTCAGGAACGCTGGTTACTATGTTTGAGTCAAGAGGCCTTAGAACAGTATCCTCCACTTGTGTAAGTTCGGCTGGTTCGCTGATAGCCCGGGCTTC